TTAACCGGTGGTAGTTATAACCAGATGGTTTAAATGGGCACTCCCCTAGTTGGGGTGCAGGTACAGCAGATAGTGTAAAACCTTCGGGCGGACTACTTAAATTAGGCACTCAAAAGGTGCACATGTGGCTTGATGTACCATTATTGTAATTGCGTATAAAACACCATTTCAAATCCTAATAAAAGCTTTCAGGCCAAAGAGATCTCCTTAACTTTAAAAAAAAAAAATTTGATGATGCTATTTATTATTTATCAGCTTCAACTCTAAACAATTCATCTTGTTCTCGTTGTGAAAGAGCCGTCGAAAAATTACTTCAGAACAAGGAACCAGGATCGGGAGTAGTCTCCCTTGATTGTTCATTGTCATCGTTGTCATAACACAGATCAAGTTCTTCATTCATAATTGCTTTAGCTGATTCATAATTTGGGCCCATGTTATTATCATAATCAAGCTAGCAAAATATGAAAAATTAACATTGATAATAAAATTTTTTTTAAACCAATATAATATAAAATACTTACCAAATATTGTTCTATGCGGCGCTTCATATGCTTTTTCTTGCATAACAAACTTTGAGACCGGGGATTTAACATTATATCACAAACCGCTAACATAAAAGCGCAATGATGGTTAGTCAATTCAGGAACAGCAGAAGTACTAAAGGCAGACCTTCCAATGATGGAAACCCAAGAAAGACCCTTATTGTTCAGCTCAAAAAGAGCTTCATAATATTCCTTGACCTAGGAGCTTTTCTTCCACTTTACAATATCTGTTGTGACGGCATTGCTTTTGAGAGGAGGCAGCTTTTCACAACCAAATATCTTCCAAATTAAATTATGGACGTTTTGCAGTGCTGCTCCATGGTGATTTTTCACTTTTTGTAAAAGCTAAAAAAAAAATTAAAATGAGTAAAAATGGTAAAAATAAAAAAACAAAAAAAAACAAAAAAAAAAAACAAAAAAGAACAAAAAAGAACAAAAAAAAAACAAAAAAAAACAAAAAAACAATAAGAAAAGGTTATTTTATATGTCTGACTACACTATACACCGTGAAACTTGTTAGTAAATTCGTTTTCAATTATATTTCGCATAAATTCAGGGAATTTAGCATCAAAATATTCTTTAAGGGTACTCTTTAGTATGATCTGGGTGGGATAGATGTTGCAAGGGAAAAGACGTTTTACAATGCTAGTATATACCTCCTGCAAAATTTAAAAAAGCTTAAATAAACGTTTGAAACGCAATACTATGTTAATAGTAAGTAGTTCACTTACGTTTAACACCTTTGGTGAAAGATCTTTTTCCTGATTTGTCCTTTGATGCTTAAGTTCGTCCTTTATTTTCCGGTCATCCTTTTTCAATTCCTTGATTAAAACATATAACTCTTGGGTTTTAGTGTAAAGTTTCTCCTCGTTTTGTTAGTGGCGCGAAAGTTGCTCCTCAATTTGGTAGCGCAAAGTTCTTAGAATTGTTTTTTTTTTTTTTTAAAAAAAAAAAAGGTATTTGTTTAGAGAAAAAAAAAAAAAGTTACGCATTTAGAGATCTAAAAAAAAAAAAAAATAGAGTTTATATACCATGATTTCTTGGCTGATTCCTATTGGTGGATCGACGATTTCGTGATCTAGATCGTGATCTTTCTGATCTTGTCCCCGGCGATGAAGATTTGCTACGCTCGATAGAACACAATGCGTTACGGAAATAAGGTGATGACTGTCGGTTTCGTGATTGGGTAATTTGTCGTGCTTGTGTAGGTTTTTTACCACTTTTACTACTCATTCTTGCAAATTTTTTTTGTGCACTTCTAATACTTTTGAGTGATGAATCTGAAAAATCTTCATCATAAATATTATGAGGATCAGTGATGTGTCGAGATGAATGAGCAATCGATTGGGATCGAGATGTATTGATAGGTACAACAATATAAGGAGAAGACAAAGCATTATCATGTAAATTGTTATCAGTAGATAAGTTTTTATTTGAATTATTAGTGGAAGTATTGTTATTGAAAGCAGAAACATTGTTATTAGGAGGTAAATTATTATTTAAAGCATTATTATTGTTATTGCAAGTGGGAGCATCATTATTAGAGGATGAGTTGTTGTTATTAGGAGGTAAATCATTATTTAAAGTATTATTATTGTTAATATTGTTATTGCAAGCGGGAGCGATGTTATTAGACGAAGAAACGTTGTTAGAGTTCATTTCAAAAATTCTTTACCTTTTCTAAATGAAAAAATCGGGTATCTAAGAAATAATAAAAATTAATGATGCCACTTAATTCATTACATAAAAAAAAGTGAAAGTATGCTTATTTGTCTACTTACGCGTAATGTATCTAAGAAATAAAAAATTTATATATGATAATAATCGTTATATATGAAAAAAAAGTGAAAGTATGCTTATTTGTTTTTTTTTCTACTTACTGTATATGTAATGATAATCTATGTTTCTAAGAAATAAAAAATTAATATATGATGATGTTGATCGTTATATACGAAAAAAAAAGCGAAAGTAACTTATCTCATTTGTTGTTTTTTGTGATATCAACAATACACGTATAATAATTCGCTGAGTTACTATTGAGAAAGAAACATATTAAATAATATTATACGTAATATATTATTATAACTTACATCATAAACAATTATTGTACTTTGTTTTGATTGAAGAAGAATTGTTTAAAATTGATATAGATCGATTAGAATCCTTTTAATCATTGCTCTCTGCTATATTTTATACCTTCTTTCATAACCATTTCTTATTCAGATTCTTCATAATTGATCTATCGCTTTAACCACTCTTTCTTCTCTTTCATTCATTTTCTTTTCTCTTTCATTTGCTTTCTTCTCTCTTTCGTTCGCTTTCTTCTTTCATCATTATATTTTTCGCTATTTATCGCTATTTATCATTGTTTCATTTCTTTCTCTCATTCACTCTTCTTTGATCATTTCATTCATTTTCATTCTCTCATTTACTCTCTTCCTTTTATTTCATTTCTATTTTCTCGTTCGCTCTCTTTATTTCTTTTATTTTTCAAAATGCTTTTGCCATGTGAATATTGTGGTCGAGAATTTTCAAAAGCTTACGCCTTAACACAACATATGTTGCAAAAACATCCTTATATCCAAGACCCAGACTTTCCCACAGAACCATTAGATAATGATACTTGGAATGATCTAGAATACAGCTATTCTTCTTTGGAGCATGATGTTAATGAATCTATAATATATAGGGTAATTATTTAAATATCATTATTAAGTTATAGTTATAAATCGTTAATAAATGATTATATTTGTATAGAGCGAAATTATGTCAACGTCACCTCTATCCAGATCAGGCTCTTTTATAAACACAGAAAATAACTTCAATGAAGTTTGTAAATTAGTTGTTAAAGAACCCGAATAATTCTTAAAAGGTGGTATTATTAATCTGGACATTTTTTTGGAGTTAAACACGTCTAAATTCTGGTCAAATTAAATTTTAATTTTAACTGTTTGGCCCAAAAAAATGTCAAGTTTAATAATACCACCTTTCTAGAATTATCCGGATCATATTAAGTTATAAATCGTTAATAAATGATTATATTTGTATAGAATGAAATTATGTCAACGTCACCTCTATCCAGATCAGGCTCTTTTATAAACACAGAAAATAACTTAAATGAAGTTTGTAAATTGGTTATTAAAGGACCTAGATAATTCTTAAAAGGTGGTATTATTAATCTGGACATTTTTTGAAGTTAAACATGTCTAAATTCTAGTCAAAATTAAATTTTAATTTTAACTATTTGGCCTAAAAAAATATTCAGTTTAATAATATCACCTTTTAAGAATTATCCGGACCAGTTGTTAATAGTTATTAACAATATATATTATTTAGAATGAAAATATATCAGTGTCACCTCATACTAGTACAGAAAGAGAGCCTCTTTCATCAGATATATCTGAAGATGAAGCTTCTGATGAGATTGATTCCGAAGACTATGAAGGAGCTATGTTTGATGATGCTTTTGATGATTTGCATCATCCACAAAATGTTGAATAGCCTAATATTGCTTATAGAGAATTTATAAAAATAATCAATAAGTATCAACTGTCAAATTCTGCAGGCAATACAGTTATTCGTTTCTTCAACAAATTTTCCAATTTGGAAGCTTTACTATTGCTATTATCAACAAAAATTGTGAAGGAATTTCTGGACAATTCTATGATCCCTTGATGATGTTCAAAGAAATTCTTATAACGATGTTTCAAGGTGTCGAATATAAGATTTACTATCGATCATTAATAAAGACTTTAATTGATGATCCACCAGTTAGCTGAAGAATGATCATAGTAAAATGTGACTTAGATTACTATATAAATTTACTATAGTGCAAATCTGGTGATCGCCCAAGATAAACTTTTTTTATACTAAGTTAATCACCTTTCTAACTACCATTAGATGCATTTTGACAAGCTTTACAAAAGTCTCTTAAGCAAGAAAGGTGATTAACTTAGTATGA